CAAAATGTCCGATTCGTGTACAAAATGTCAAATCAGTGTACAAAATGTCAAAATCGTGTACAAAGGGGATTTTCCCTTACTTATTTCTCCTATTTTTAGGATCGACGTTCCGATCCAGATTACCAGCCGCCAGTAATCAAGCCAAAAAAGGTGAGAAAAAAATCAATTTTCTTTGAGAAAGAAATTTATTTCCTCTGAATTTCAGAAGGGCAACGTTACCTGGAATTGCGGCATATGTGGGCGAGTAGGAGCCGGTCGCATTTCGCGAGATCGACATTCTTGTGAAGGAATGGATCGAAAGAAGCCGCTATATTCACCATGTCATCGTGAATAAGCTCATTTATAAATATTGACCATCCACATTGGCCAATTTGACTTTTATAGCCATTTTTCGCTGACCCAGCCTTTTGGAAATCCAATGGTTGTTTAGACATAACAAAACATGTTGAGTTACTACTCCGCCGTCTACAGCATTACGTCTGTTGACAATACGGGCGGGTCTAATTGGAGGCGGCAGTTGTATCGGCCGATGGTTTGCTGTTGGCCATTTGGGCAAACGATTGGGAGGCTGTGCCGACGGTGGCATGTTTTGGATGAATTAGGAAATACACTTTTTCACTTGTCTTAACTTTGGTTTTTATGTTGATCTTCTATGTGAGTTTTCTGATTTCAAATGACGTGGATTTGTTGGCTTGGTTCTATCTGTACTGCTGTGTGTATCGCGGTCGTACTTGCTACATCGATTTAGACCGTTCCTTTCGGAACGCACTGCAGAACACCCTCGGGGGTCCATACTTATATGAGGACTCCAGGGTCCTGGAAACACACCAACCACATTACAATGATTGTCTGACTATGGGGTCCAAATCAAAGCTTATGTCCGCACTGATATGAGGAAATATCTATTAGTGAGACGTAAAAGAACGCAAGATGGTCCAACTTCGTAGCAATAAAGAGAAGTATGTTTGATGGCAACTAAAAATGGTTAAAAGAATGTATGTTCGTTTTTAGCGGGTCCTCGCGGTTTTTCACGGTTTCCGCGGAACTGATAAGAGATAAAAACTTGGTGTCTTCGGCAAAGTTGTAGCACTCGAGGTCTTCTATAACATTGCTGAAGACATCTATCTCTTATCTCTTATCAGTTACGCGAAAAGCGCGAAAAATTATAAGAAAAAAAAAGTTCTATATAAAATTTGCTTTTTCATGTGCGCGATTCGCACCGACATGACCGACATGTTTCGACATGTTTTGGCATGTTTTGAAATGTTTCGGGGTCCTTGTTTCATGCTCGGGGTCCCGCATTGTATTAGAACTTCGGTGTGTTGGTTCCGAAAGGAACGGTCCGAGTTGATGTACCTAGCGCTCGAACCAATGCAATTATGATTATTCGTCCTCAGAAGACTGCATTTAAGCGCTGGGGTCCAACGTTTTCGACGACCCCATGCGTTTAGTGCGTTCCGAAAGGAACGGTCACGGTACTACTTGAACTCAAGCACCCACTTGGAAACACAGCTTATAGCAAAACAGTGAATAAAGTATTGTTTGAACAAACAATGTTCGTGGAAAATTAAAACAGTGTTTATTGTTTCAGCAGTGTTTCAATAAATAAATTGGTTTGGACAACGTAATACGAAAAATGATATCTGTTTTTTGAGTTTTTTTTCTTCCTTATTTTGTTACGACGATTACAATTTTTTTTCATCGATATTTCGTTTTTTTTTCCGCTATTTGTTTTTACTTTTTCGCAGGCCCATGTCGTGGACTGCGTAAAAGTATTGCATTTGGCCCAAATTTTAAGACACCCCAAAAATATGATTTCTATCCGTTTTCGAGGCCGTAGAACACGAAAAAATGGGTTTTAGAGCGATGTTTTGTGAGTCTGTTCCACACACAAAATATTGGAAAAGTGAAACAGAGGAATGTCAACATAATTGACAGTTTATAGCGGATTCTAGCATTTTTTCCATAAACTGCATGCGAGAGCTGTGTCTAAGGCAAACTACATGCTACTAGCGCCACACTGAAATACATTTGATTTGCATTGTACACGTAAGCGGTGGTAGTTCTAACTATCAAATTACAACAACAAATTACACAGATAGGCGCATCCCTCGACTGCATGAAAAATATATAACCTACGAAACGTCAAGTTAGTTTCACATGACGTTTGATGTTTGTTTCAATGTGCCGGTCGGGTACATGATTTTGTACCCCAGAACGGATATCCGTTTTCCGTTTCCGTACGGAAAACGGAATCAGAAACGGAAAGGCATACGGAAAACGGAAAAGGAAACGGAAAGGCATACGGTAAACGGAACGGAAACGGAAAAAAAACGGATAGGAAACGGAAAATAAACGGAACGGAAACGGAATTTTTTTCCTCGTAAAGAAAACGGAATTTGTACCATTTAATTATAAAAGATCCACATTGTGATTCATATTTCGTTAATGTATGAGTGAATCTTTCCATACGGAAACGGAAACGGAAACGGAAACGGAAAAGAGTTTGAAAATGGAACGGAGGTTCAACCTGTTGATATTCTGGTTTCATTTGTTTTGTGCACTTTATTAAAAAATGATAAAATACAGATTTCAATTTCGAGTGCCATCTATTCGGAAAAACTACAAAATTTTAGTTGTTTCCCGTGACGACCCCAGCAAATTTTCAAAACAAAAAGACAATAATCCCAATTTGGAACCAAATTGAAACATGTCGAAAATTAGGTTAAAGCACTATTTTACAGAGATTAATACGTATACGAAAAGTAGTCATTTGTGCGATCGCATAAGCAATAACTCACTTTACCCAAATATAAAAGTAAATACAAAGTAAATTCATTCAAAAACAGTTGAAACCGCTATTTTGCACTCAAATCTAGATTATTCAGTAACCCAAGAAAACTTGGTGTGTATTTTACTTTATCAATTTTTACTAAAGTGCACATGCACACAGAAAATAAAGCCAGAAGTATCAGTAGGTTCACCGGGAAATTTGACATTTCAATGGGAATTTGACGATTTTTAATTCAAACTCGAATGAGGTGATTCTAGCAGATCTGAGTACGTATTTCATAAGGCAATTCGACATCAAGCTGCAAATGACCTACATAAATATCGGCCATATTTTTCATTTTTTTTGCCGTTTAGCATTCGAAAAATTTTAGCCAATGTTGAAAATTTTGAATTAGTGAATAATTGATTTATGGAATCTTTATGATTGTATTTCGATTCTACAAGTATAAAAAGTATTATATCGACATGTTTCAAATCGAAATTAAATTATTTCATGTTCGAAATTGTTTTTGAAAACCGAAAAATGAATGAAGTGGATTTTTATGCAAGAAGAATTTTCGAAGGATTTCTGTTTCAAGTTCGAAAATTCGAAAATTCGAAAATTCGAAAATCAACATTTAAGTCAAGTGGACTTTTCCAATCATATTTATTTCATGTTTTAAAGATTTTTGTCCATGTTCGAAAGTGTTCGAAAATAAAAAAATTCGAAGATTTTTTTTTGTGAATGAGGTTATTTTAGCAACAATTTCTATTTTATGTTCGAAAATTTTCGAAAGTCGGAAAATTTTCGAAAATTAATTTTTTAAACCTGCTCTTTTTAAAGATTTTTGGTCATTTTCGAAAAATGACTTGAACTCGAGTTCGAAAACTCTTACCGTGATCTCGGTCGGAAGTGCTTGTATACACTGTAATTTGCTTGGGATTAATTTTTAATCCTTTTGGATTTTTCGGCGCACATCAAAATTTCCGTGGGAAATTTCTCCGCACGCACCAAGGAAAAAAATCCGCTGAAATTTATTCCGTTTTTTTATGAAATTTATTCCGCATGAATTATGTTCGCGGTAACTACTCCGCCGGAATTGATTGGGCAATTATTTTCGCCATACTTTTTTGCGGAAAAAAATGCAAAATTATTGAATTTTTTCCGCAAGAAATTATTCCGTCGTATTTTTCTATTAACAACGTACGTGAGTTACGCATTCTCCAAAATCTAAAACATTATTCCCAAAATAAATATAAATGTAAATAAATAAACATGATGTGTTTTTTACATACACATATAAAAATTTATTTAATTTGATGTGGCGTTAATAATTAAAATTTAATCATTTCAGTTCAATCCGCTAGTGCGATGTTTTTTTAATGTAATTCATGCCAAATGGTATGGCCCTTCTTGTGGCCGCTCTTCTATCTTTCGAAATTCGATCGTTTCTTCATTTTCATTTTGATGGCGTCTGGGTATATGTTGCTTAAAATTGGCCTTATTCTGATATTTTCGGCCACAAGATTTACACTCATAAACGAAATGTACTTCATGCCTTTTCATGTGGCGTTTGAAGTTGGACGGCTTCGATTTTATGACAACAAAACAAATTGGACATTTCAAAGCAGACTGAAAATGAAAATTATAAATCGTAATTATATTTTCATGTAGATATATTTGGTGTATCTTGTAGAAATATTTGAAATCAAATTATACGATTTAATACAAATGTGAAATTTAATCATAGAGACTGATGATTCAACGTACCGAACTGACTTCGTGCTGATTTTTTTGTGCACATCTAAGACTTTTCTTTGTTTTTGCCCATCGCATAAAAGCGAGTACTGAAAATCCCTGATAAAATGAAATAATGATATTTCATTGAGAATTAAATAATGGAACAATATTCGGATAAATTTTAATAAGTATCGTCCAACAATATTTACCAAGGGACTCACGAAATGTTTCATTTTTCTCAGTACACATCAAACAAGAACCTCTTTTGAATGTGAAATGTCAAAAGTTGACAGCAAATAACAATACACACAGTTGACAGCATTCAAAATGCACTAAGTGTGTAAAGTGAAGTGTCAAACCAAATAAGACACAATTCTTTTCTGTTTGGTGTTTCTGCTAAAAGAATCGATTTTCGAAATGTTTTGGGGTAAGAAATGTGGACTAAATGATTTCAAAAAAAAATTTCAGTGTATTGTTTTTAGGTTTAATGATTCAACCAGGAGGAACGCTATATTCGTTCAAGCCGAATGCTGGAACACAACTTTGTATAACAAATGCAACTCTGGACAGCAGCACGCTCCGAGCGAAAAATTCAGAAGTTCAACTTTGGCTGCAACACTTAACATATGACCACCTGCTTGCATGTGTGAGCAAACAAATGCCGTATATTAAATTGAATCTACAATTTAATAGTGACGATGAATTGAAGTGCTTCTCAAAAGGCACTGGAACAGTGTACCTCAGTGGATACATCAGCACACCAGCATCCTCGGCCTATGCGATTTTACCTGAGGATCATGCCGTGGCGGAAACAGAAGAAGTTGAGACCACCGATAATTCGAAGAAGGGTGATAAGATCGATGACGATGATGAAAAGGCAACTGGAATTATCGTTGAGGACCTATTTACACCGGACAACGATGATGACACGATAGCCGAACTTGGCGACACAATTTCGATTCGCTATGAATGTTTCCTGACAAATGGTGACAAACCAATTTTCTCAAACTTGTCGGTGGACCCATTCAAGTTCGTGCTTGGCCAAAATGTCGTATGTAATGGTTTGAACGATGGCATTGTATCGATGTCAGTCGGGTCCAAGCGAAAAATTCAATGTCCACCACACTTGGGCTATGGCGAAAAAGGCATTCAGGCATTAATTCCACCAAATGCATCGTTGATTTTCGTTGTTGAACTATGTGGAATCGAAGCTAAAAGTTTGAATCAGGATTCATAAAACTATCATAGAATATTCTATGATTTATCACAAAATAAATGTTTCATGATATTTCTTTCAAATAAAAAGTCCAAAAAAGAGAATTTTTATTAAAATTGCATGTTTTTTTTTATTATTAAATATACATATATGAAATAAAGGTGGCTGTAATTCAATGTTGTCAAATGTTTGAATTTCGCTCTTGCAAGAGCACATTTTTGCACTTCTCTTTATTTGTCCAAAATTTTCAGGAGCTCCACCGTTGATGTAATGGTAGAGTTTGCTGGAATGAAAGGGGGGACACCGTTTTCACCATAAGCCACATTCGGAGGACACAAAATATGTCTTTTGCCACCTTTTTTCATGCCAACGATACCAATATTCCAACCATTTATACCAGCTGAACCCAAATTGATCTGATAAGTTTCTTGGTCGTTGGACGTTCCGACTACGATGTCGTTCGCTTGAAGTCGATTTACGTACGAAATTTCCACATTGTCACCAAGTTTGGCCTTTTTTCCTTTGCCTTTTTTCACATCCGTAATCACAACACCTTCATCCAATGTCTCTGTTTGTATTTCTACTTGTCCGTTTTGTTCTTCATTTGGATCTGCTTGTTGTTGTTCGTTCATTTCAACCTGGAAGAAACAACAATTGTGAAAAATAAAAATGTAACTCAAATTTGTCAAGCGAATTTTTCTTGGCTCACACAAAAATAAAACTTACTTCAGTATCATCAGTGAATTCTACCGGAATAAAGTAGCCTGAGAGAAAGACTTTATTTGGACCGTTTGTGGAAAACTTGATTCTTTCATTGGCACCGAAAACCAAATCAAGCCGCCACTGAGGAAATCCTCGTGACATTGTGGCGAGAAGAATATTGGTTGAATTTTTCCGAATCCAGAGTTGTGTCAACCCTTCTGAGTCATCTTGATTCGTGTTTTTGATATCCATGGCCACTTGAGATACATGGAATTGTTTGACAGAGCGATAGGTAGTCCGCTCATTTACGCCTAGTTCCAGACCTTTTAGAACAAAATTGCATTCATTTATGGAATTTTTTTAATAATGAAACTATATTTCTTACCCCAAAACATTTTTTTGCAACACAAAACGCAGTTCAACAAAACGCAACTTTACAAGACAAATAAACATATGCTTATACAAGCAACAATCAGCAATATTATTGTAAACAAATAATCTCACAGCAGATTGACACAACAAATGTCATATATTGACATATATTGACGCTGTGTGATGCTGATGGTGGTCAATCGTACAAAAAATGTAAAACAGAAAAAAGGAGGGAAATATTTTGTGTTTGAAGATCAAAGAAATGGTTGTTGCTTCAAGATTTTGTTTTATATTTTTTCTTCTATGTTTCAATTGATGGCACAAATTTGTTGTTCAACATTTTGCAGACAGTACATTGGGTTTGAAAATGTTATTGTCATTGCCTGAATTCTTGCAGCGAAAACGATTAATCGCATATTCTAAAACCCAATCCTCTTGCAGGAGTGTCTGTTTGCAAAATGTGAAGTGGATAAACTTATTCATTGATTCGACGTTAATTCAAGTCAAATGACCTTATCAGCGTTCGAGAACCATTGCGACGAAAATTCACTTTAGGCATGTACAATCTGTATCACATATCTGTGATTCATATCGAATGAAAAAAACATGTTTTTGCACTGAAAATCTGCTTCCAGCCGAAAATTCGACAAATACTTTTTTTATCCATCGATCCAAGGGCAGAGAAAGAGGTTTGTTATGTGTCATGTAAAACAACGAATTTTTAGTTTGTCACTTAGTGTTTATTTCGAACTGATAGGTTGTCGTTTTTTATTTTTTTTCTTAATTCTATTTTTCAAATTATTTATTTTTAGTTATTAATGGCGCGGTTTTTTCTTGAATTAAGGATAGAACACACAAAACAGTACGAAGGGTTAGCAGTACCCATCAAACAAATCGACGCCTCCTGAACAGCTTTATATAGCTTTGGAGAGTCGAATGTGTGATGGAACATACTGAACCCTTCGTAAAAATTGGTCAATTTGTTTTTGTGCACCTTAGCGGTTGTATAATCTCCAAAAAAATGAATTGAATAGTATCCATTATTGGAGTCTTCAATGACTCCTGGCCAATCTCTGAAGCCCTTCATTTTGACCCAACAGATTGCATACTTCGAGAGATCCGGCGGCAATATCATCGAGAGCTGACTCGTTTTTGCTGTAGTCTGTTTCCGTTTTCTCTTACTTGGTTGTACTGAATCCGTTGCTTTGAAACGTTTTGATGCGTGTAACTCTTGCTCTTGTTCATTAAATGGCGATTTGTTTGGATTTGATGTTGGAGCCAGCTGTACACGAAAAAAATGATCAATGAATAACATCCAATAAAATCATAAAAAATGAGAATCAATGCATACCGGCTCTTCAACTGAATTGGAACGATTCGTTATGTGCTCCTCGTCTTCTTTACGTCCACGCTTTTGTTGTTTGGATCGCATGAGCTGGAGATTCGGTTTTGATGTTGAAGCCAGCTGTACACAAAAAGAATGATCAATGAATACATCCAATAAAATCATAAAAAATGAGAATCAATGCATACCGGCTCTTCCGCTGAATTGGAACGTTTCGTTATGTGCTCCCTCTCCTCTTTACGCTTTTGTTGATTCGTTCGCATGAGCTGGAGATTTGTTGTCGATGTTAGTGACTCTTCCGCCGATTCGAAACGTTTCATTTCTGCTAATGTTATGAATAGTCCTTCGTACTCGACATCGGAAATTTGAAAAGTTTTCTTCAATAGACCGTTAAGAGAAAATTGGCACTCATTCCAGATCCAACAGTTGTCATAGAACGCAACTTGACCACCGGCGTTCCTACAAATTGAATATGAGTAGATGCCAATAATTTGAGAAAAAATTGTAAAGAAAATTTGCCATGAAAAATGCCATACCTTATAGCTTCTGGATCAAACAGTTTGATGGGTTGCCGGCGTGAACGTTTCCCCAAACCAAAATCAATCCGTGGGAATAAATGGACATGTACTTCACTTTTTTTTTCATCAATTAACAACACTCTTGCAATGTCGCCTTTATATTTCCCGTTCTTAACTCTGACCCACTGTAATTCATTACAATTTTTTTTGGAACTTCGCGTTATGCGTGCTGGTGTTTTTTGCTGAACTTTATCGAAATTTAATTTTTTTACTTTAATACACAATTCTTTTGCAAAAATGTGCGGAAATTCGGTTTTATAATCCATTTTTGATGCGCATATGTAAATGACTTGGAATAAATTATTGTTCTGTCTTGACGGCTCTTGCATGAGTTGTAAAAATGGATGCGTTTAATTATAAGTCATGCATTCGTGAGTAAGTATGCCATTTACTGCCGTACGATATATTTGCTCATGCATGAGTGCGGCCAGTATATGAATAGCAAATAATCCAGTTTTTTTTTCAATAATAATTATTTATTTCATAGTTTTTGTCGCGACTGTTTTTTCAATCAAACAATGACAGTAGGCGAAAATGTGCGGATTTTTTCCCTCGTGATCCGTTTTTGATGCGCATTGCGCATATGTAAAACCTTAGAATGAATGTTGTGCCTTGACAGCTCTTGCAAGAGACATTTCTACAATTGATGTGTTTAATTAAAAGTCATGCATTCGCGCGTAAGTATGCCATTTACTGCCGTACGATATATTTGCTCATGCATGAGTGCAGCCAGTATATGAATAGCAAATAATCCAGTTTTTTTTTCAATCAACGCAAAAATTATTTTTTTATTTGATTAAGTTTTTGTCTAGAAAATAGTGTTTTTTGTGATGACATTATGAGTAGTGATGTGTATTTCGAATTATGCGAAAGATTTGCCGAAAGATCTCGTCATGCCAAATCAACGTTTGATTCTAGCTGCGTTTTGGATGATGAATTCTCCGATGATGGCTTGGACAATGCCATTCCGAATAGTTTTTCCTACGAATTCATCACAGGAGTTCGTTCAGATTCCGAGTTGATGTGGGCTGGAGAAGAGGAATTTTTATATGTAAGCAACGGGAAAATCGTAGTAAAAGATGATGCAGAGGCATTCACTTGCTACGTGAAAAAATGCAGTGGCCGTGCATATTTGAAGCCAAACGGCATATGCTTCAAAGTTGCAGAACACAATGTGCAGCACGGTTCGATGTATTCAACGTATAAAGAGCTGCAGTGCTGAAACTACATGCGAACAGAATGTAAAGTTGCAGGTGCATCAAAATCTATTTCGGACATATATAATGATTCGGTCGTGATGTATGTATCTCTTGGAATTTTTTTTTATATCATAAACAATATTTCGAGCTAAACTAATTTCTACCTATTCAGTTGGAACAATGATCCTAAATGCGACGGACCATTCCCTATTCCGTTTTCTAAAATTAATCGCACTTTGGCCAATTTGAGGAAAGAGAGATATGATACATCACCAAGCACATGCTCAGAAATCCGTGCAGCGTTCGAGAATGACAATATATTGAAGGATTTGGGCACGTCTTTACAAAGAGATCATGGTCTTTTGTACAATTGCGTGCACGAGGAAGATGATTTTGCATACTGTGTTCTTTCGTCACCAAAATCAATTGAATTAATAACTCAAAACTTGGAAGAGCAAGAGCGATTTTTTCTGATAGATGCGACATTCCGCATTACTCCAATGTGTTCGTTGTTCAAACAGGTGCTAATAGTACACGCGCAATTCGGCATAAAGGCAAGTGTGAATGGCAACATGCAAGAGTATTGATACTATAATTCATTTTTCGGTCTGAAGTAATGATTATATGTTCTTTTATAGAGTTTTCCTTTGGTCGTTGTTCTTATGTCAAGGCGGACGACAGAAGCTTACAAAAGTGTTTACAGCTACATCCACGAAAACATTTTACCGTTAAATGCAAAAGGTATCATTACCGATTTCGAACTGGCACTACGGAATGGACTGCGTGATATTGTACCAGAAACTCCACTATATGGCTGTTGGTTTCACCATTGTCAGGCCCTTAGAAGAAAAGTCGCTTCACTTCCAAAACTATTCGCTCTCGTTCGCCACGATAAAAAAGCAAGAGAATTTAACCGTCTGTTCCAATGCTTTGCTTTGTTGCCTGCTGACAAAATTAAACCGGCATTCGATCAAATTGCATATGAAGCGCTGAAGTTGTATCCTGAATTCGGAGAATTCATTCAATATTATGATAGACAGTGGATTATACGAGAAACACCTGAGAAATACAGCGTATTTTTACTGGTAAATTAAGTATTAGAATTGTTGACATTTAGAAATATTCTTGCAAGAGCATATACTATTTCACTTTGCAATTATTTGCATATTTGTGTTTCGTGATAAAACATTTAAAGTATTAGCAGTGTTTATTTTAATCATATTGATTTTTGATTGCAGGATACCCGCACAACTGGGGCAGCAGAGGCCCACAATGGAAAGTGTGGTAGAACATTTAAAACACATGGCAACTTTTTCAACTTCCTTGCTTCTTTCCAACGAGAAGAAGTAGTTAAGTCAGATGAACTCGAACGTGATGTTAGCGGGCTTATTCAACCTGATAAACGAAAAAAAAAATTCAAAGATCGCTCAATGATTATTGAACATTACTCACATTTGTTGCAAGATGGGAAGATAACTGTAATGCGATTTTTAAAAACCATGGCCAATATGGACAACAATATTATATTTCAAGAGCACGAATATCCCATCTTAGAAACCGAAGATATTGAATTCCATACAGTTGAAGATTTAAATGCTTATGAAGAAATCTTGAAAGAGCCAGTCTGTGAAAAATATGATGATGTGCCCGTTATTCTGAGCACTGCGGCAAAAAGTCAAGAAAATGTCGTGGCTACAAAGCCAAAGCCAAAACGAAAACAAACAACTGGTGAAAGAAGAGTCGTGTTGACGCGATCAAAAGCAAAAAAATCATCACAATCGCAAAGTCAAATGCAAACTATGCCTGTTGTTGCACCTGTTTCGAGAAAACGCAAAGCCGAGTCATCAAATGACGACATGAGGCCTTCTAAACGAATGAGTCTGTCATGTAATTCTTCGAACAGTGACTTGGAAGATGTAACAACAATAACGGCAACCTCGACAGAAATCGGGCGATTACACCACCGCTTCCAAGACTTTCTTGAAGGCAAAACAGACTTCTTGCCCACCCAAAATTGCGTCATGAATTGTGAACGTGCAAGAGCCACTGTGCTCTTGCCTTGCAGACACCAGGCCACATGCAATCAATGTTTCGTGATGTGGAAGGTGTTCTTGGCAAAAAATAAGAAGGATGTTTTTTGCCCGATTTGTCGAAGAGTTGTTTCTGACAATATTATCATAAATGGTAGCTAATGATTCAGCCTCTTCCAGCGCAATTTTGCAAAATAGAATTAAGAAAAAATAAAGAAACGACGACCTAGCAGTTCGAAATAAACACTAAGTTAAAAATTTGTTGTATTTACTGTATTTTATTTTTCTGAAAAAACATTGGCGGAATAAATTCTTGCAAGAGTGAAAATGGTTGTGAACGGGATTAATTTCTGAAATGATACCGGCGGAAAAAATACCCACGGAATATTTTTTTGATAATAAACAGCGAAAAAAATGTGGAATTTATCCTTGCGGACTTATTACCTGCGGAATAAATTTCATAAAAAAACGGAATAAATTTCAGCGGATTTTTTTCCTTGGTGCGTGCGGAGAAATTTCCCACGGAAATTTTGATGTGCGCCGATTTTTCATATAAAAAATCCGAAAGGATTAGTTTCTAATCCCAGTTATATGAAAATAATCCATTAGATAAATTTGCTTATTTAAATACAAATTATCAATAAATTATTTCAAATCGTTCGGCATATTACTTCAAATGAGTGTGCGATATACGATTCATATGTTTCTTGAGTGCGCATAGCCAAAGTTGTTCTAGTTTCAATACCCCTATTTGGACTTTTCTTGTTTTTTTGATGATTTTACCTCAATTTACCTTTTGACCTTATCATTTACTGGCCTCTGACTTTGCGAACACTTTTCTTATCTAAATGATATACACGCAGTACGTTGATTTGCTTTTCGATGTTTTTATTCTTTTTCTTTTCTTACTGCGCTACTCGGACGACTGTGACCGTTTTTCGTATTCCTCAGTTTTTATTGCACGATCTTCGGTTGATTTATCCAGGCTCTTTTCGTCCACTGCTGGGCCAATCCAATGTGGTTCGGTGTAAATACGCCGTAGAGTGAATACCGCAGATAAAACGCCGTATAGAAAAACCACTGGACACGACACACACATTAATTTTATTCCTTCGTTGCAGTTTTTGTTAGTGAATAACTTACGCTTTTCCGCTGGTTTTTCTTCTGATTTCTTCTTTTCTTTCAGTCGCTCGATCGATTGGTTTTCGTGTCTTTGCTTTACTTTTTATTTTTGTTTCCAGGTTACGTCTCGTCCGTTTCGATGCTTGAGAGAGAAGACCGAATGCAAGACGTCTCTCGTTCTGTGTCATTTCGTGTGAGTGACACTTGTAGCTCAATCCGAACGAGTTGCTCAGTTATCGTTCTCTTTTTTGGCTTTGTGTGTGCGCATGTATCGCCATCTCTGGGTCGCCGAGTAGCTCTAATTCACAATGAAGCTTACTGCTAATTACAATTCATTTCATTTTGTTGTGTTTTATTTTTCATTTCTTTTCGTTCTTATTCTAAATCAATTTACTGATCCAAAACAAAGTACTCATCAAATATTTTAGTACGGCATGTTCTAATGAGCTAGGTCCATTTGACAGCTTGTGTTGCTATGAAATGTCATTGTGTTTATTCCATTTGAAATATTAACGTTTTCATTGTGCGTATATTCAAACAAAAATGAATAAACAATACAAATATTGTTTTAAAGAAAAGAAATTAGTTGAATATTCCGCTCACGGCGATGGAACCTGTAGCATAGACACGAAAATCGATGAAAATATTCAGAAGAATGAGATAAATTTCGAAGCAGACGGTGGATCTCTCTTAACAGAGTTCGGTGCAATTTACAAGGAGAGCAACGAGTTTTTTTCCAGCCTACCATCTGAACTTTGTTCACTGAATTTAACTCAAGGCAATTTCAAAAAGGCAATGGAATTGGTCACTCATATTGTTGAACAAGCCGCACGACTGTCTAAAAAACTTGTCGAGAGAAATTGCAACGCAAGTAAACACGCGTGTGAGAATATTGATTCCAGTGCAAAATACATTTTAAGCAAAATCAAAACGATGAACACTGCGAACAAATTAAAGAAAATAATCAGAAATAATCCCTCTCGTTGAACCGATTGAAAAGGCGATTGGCATGAAGTGGAAAAATGCGAAAGTAGACCCAAAGACTCAAATACCTGATCACGGTTTGATTCAATCAACTTTTCAATATGTGCCCATTTTAAAT